GTGGTCGATTTTGCTGTTTTTTTTGGAGAAGGTATATATTGCTCATTAATTTTGCAAAAGTGTTGTTTTTAAAAATTTATCCAAGATCAAGTTATCTCTCTGTCTACAAACCATTATTGTTTCACAATCTAAACATTATTGTTTCAAAATCTAACAAGTTATCTCTCTTTCTACAAACCCTTACTGTTTCAAAATCTAACCATTATTGTTTCAGAATCTAACTATTACTGTTTCAAAATCTAACAAGTTATTTCTCTGTTTACAAACCATTACTATTTCAAAATCTAACAAGTTATTTCTCTGTTTACAAACCATTACTGTTTCAGAATCTAACCATAACTGTTTCAGAATCTAACCATTACTGTTTCATCATCATCTGATAGTAATTTATTGTGACGTTATTTGGTTGATAACCACAGGTTTATTGAATTGCTTCAGGTTGTTGCCTCAGGAGTCATAAGCAGCCCAATAAGTCGCCGAGAGAGAAGGCCTACTGCTTTCTGAATATTAACAGTTGCTGGTTGGTCCAATAGCTCTATTGATTGTGTATTTTGGATGCATTTCTTAATGGTTTGTAGGTAATACATTGTCTTTTGCAAGGAAAAATTTCCAGTACCTCTACACAAGTTATGCCTGCTGCTACTTTGGAAAGGTTAGTTAGTTATTTACTTATTATTATCTTTTAGTTATAAGGCATTCCCCCACTCTATTATTGATAAGAAAGAATATTACATAGTGATGGTGCTGCTGCAAAAAACAAATATTTTGTTTATACAGTAGAAATTCTCTAGAAACGACAGGCACTTTTTGCAATATATATTTGAGTCTTTAAGCCATTGTAGACTTCATTATATACAATGTGTTATCTTTTACTACACTTGATTATTTTTGGCATATCATTATTAACCTTGTAGATCAAAATATACTGCAATAATGTAAATTTAGTTGAAACTAAAGTACATTGCTCAATTGACATTCGTGTATTGGTAAGTAGATAATGCAGTTCAAACGATTAAAGTCAAGTAAGGTTTAGAGTAGGTCAGTGCGGGGAACAGGAAGTGATAAATAAACAATCAAGTTAGTGTTGTGCGCAGCGGAAATTTCGGCAGCACTTCGGCAGCACAACAAGAGAGATTAGATCGATAAGAATTCCCGTCTCACCAAGGAAACAAGAATCTGAAGCGGATATCTCAACCAAGTGAGATATCGGCTCTTCCTCTCATCAGTTCTAGGACTGACCTGTCGAGGGATCCTACAAGCTATTACAAATCACAGCAAGAACACAACTTTTACGTGGTTCGGCAAATAGCCTACGTCCACGGGGCAAGGAGGTAGGGTTTACAATCTCACAATCTAAACCCTCTCAAACAAACTCTCAAATCCCTCTTACAAAATCTCTCTCAAAGGGGTACACAAATCAAAGAACAATAAACAAAGGACTTTGCTTTCAAAATTAGCCGCTGCCTTTTTCTCCTCGGTTCACAAAACAGAGCCGCTCAAAATCAGCCCCCAACTTTTGCACGCCCTCTGCTTCCGAACTCCTGAAGCCGCAAAAATCACGTCCTTGCTCTAAGCCGCACAAAACCCTAGGGAAGGGTTTTATACAAGACTTTCGGGTGGGCTTTGATGTTCACGCGTGGGCCAAAGGATTTTGTCCGCTGTTTTTTCCGCTGGCTCTCTGCATTCACGTGGTAGCCGTGGCCCCCACATCACAATTATTATTATTTTAAAAATTGCTTTTGCCTTCGGTTCAGGCTCTGTATTATGCTCTTCCAATGGATTATATGACAGTAGCAAAACTTCAGACTAAGCTAGATGGAGAGGCTAAACAGAATACTGTTCGAAAATTGATCGACAAGCATCTAAAAGACTGCCTACGTATCCTCTTGCCCAAGGAATCAAGCCGAACGTAGTTCACCCAAATGGCCTCCAAAGGCCTCAACACCGAAGAATGTTCAAAAGCTCCAAACAATGACCAAACTTCACTCCTGAAACAACTTTGGTCAACATATCCGCAGGGTTGTCCTTCGTGTGGATCTTCTCTAATATGACGTCTCCTTCATCCAAAACGTCACGAACAAAATGGAATCTGACATCAATATGCTTCGTGCGTGTATGATAAACCTGGTTCTTCGCCAAATAGATAGCTGACATGCTATCACAATATACCCGAAGGGTCTCCTGTGCAATCCCCAAGTTCTCCAATAATCCCTGCAACCACAAAGCCTCATTCACAGCTTCAGTCAACGCCATATACTCTGCCTCCGTAGTGGAGAGAGCCACTGTACACTGAAGTGTGCATCTCCAACACACCGATGCTCCTGCTAGTGTAAACACATATCCGCTAGTAGACCGGCGCTTGTCCAGATCCCCCGCATAATCAGAATCCACGTAACCAATACAATCCTGCCCTGTCTTCTCATTCTTCTGAAATACCAAACCAACATCCACGGTACCTTTGATATACCGTAGAATCCACTTCACGGCCTCCCAATGACCCTTCCCGGGGTCGTGCATGTACTTGGATACCATGCTCACGGCCTGTGACAAATCTGGCCTTGTACACACCATCGCATACATCAAGCTACCCACAGCATTGGCATATGGAACTTTGGACATGTATTCCCGGTCCTCAACTGAAACAGATGACATCTTAGCTGATAGCTTAAAGTGGGGAGCCAATGGAGTACTCACCGCCTTGGCATTGCCATCATAACTGAATTTCTTCAGCATCTTCTGCAAGTAACTCCTCTGTGTCAACTTCAACCTCCCCTTCACCCTGTCTCTCTCGATCTCCATACCCAATATCTTCTTTGCTTCTCCAAGATCCTTCATCTCAAATTCGGATGACAGCTCCTTTTTCAACTTTCTAATAGCTGAAGTATTCCTGGAAGCTATGAGCATATCGTCAACATATAACAACAAATATCAAACTCGGATGATAACTCCTTTTTCAGCTTTCGAATAGCTGAAGAATTCCTGGAAGCAATAAGCATATCATCAACATATAAAAGCAAATATATGAGCTCACCATCCTGTAGCTTGTGCATATAAACACATGGGTCATATGGGCTCCTTGTGTACCCTCGGCCAATCATAAAGCCGTCGAATCTCTTATACCACTGTCTTGGTGACTGCTTCAAACCATAAAGAGACTTCTTCAGCTTACAAACCAAATTTTCCTTTCCTGCAGCTTTGAAACCCTGTGGTTGTGTCATGTAGATCTCCTCATCTAAATCACCGTGTAGAAAGGCTGTCTTCACATCCATCTGGACCAAATCCAAATCCAACTGTGCCACCAACGCCAATAAAATCCGAATCGACGAATGCTTCACAACGGGTGAAAATACCTCGTTGTAATCAATGCCCTCAAGCTGTGCATATCCCTTGGCAACTAATCTGGCTTTGAACCGAATGTCCCCAATAGAAGATCCCTCCTTCTTCGCATATACCCACTTGCAACCAATAGCTTTCTTACCCTTAGGTAGATGTGCAAGTGTCCAAGTGTCGTTCTTCTGAAGAGACCGCATCTCCTCCTCCATAGCTTCCCTCCACCTGATCGAATCGGGGCTAGACTCTGCCTCCCTGAATGTGGCTGGAACCATATCATCAACGACCTCCACTGATAATGCATATGCGACCATGACATCATTATACCTAGCTGGCCGACGAATCTCTCTCCTCGGTCTATCTGCTGCAATGGTCCTCTGAACATGACCCTGTTCCTGAGTCCCATGATCTACTGTATCCTGTATCTGCCCATCTGTCATCTCATCTCCTCCCAGTGTCACCTCTGTAGGAGCCTCAATGGATACAGTGTTCTCTGGAGTGGGTGGAGTCACATCATCCTCCACCTGCTGTGATATCTCTCCTGTCTGGTCTCCCTCCACCTGCTGAGGGGCTCGAGGCCTCATCATGTACGCCTCGTCAAATGTGACATCTCTGCTAATAACTATCTTCTTGTCCTGTGGATCCCATAACTTGAAGCCTTTAACTCCATCTCTAAATCCCACAAAGACTGCTTTCCTCGCTCTCGGATTTAATTTACCATCACTGACATGATAATAAGCTGGACACCCGAATATCCGAAGCGACTCATAGTCACTAGCCACCGAACCAAACTAACGCTCCAAAGGAGTCTTCCCGTCTATCGCAGTGCACGGCAACCTGTTCACGAGATGGCTCGCATAAACTACTGCCTCGGCCCAAAAAGATCTAGGCAATCCACTCTGCGTCATCATACACCGCACCTTCTCCAGCAAGGTACGGTTCAATCTCTCAGCCACCCCGTTCTGTTGCGGTGTCTCTCGAACTGTGAAGTGTCTTCTAATGCCGTGATCCCGGCAAAACTGCAGAAATGGATCACTCTTATACTCTCCACCGTTATCTGAACGTAGAGTCTTCACCTTTCTACCTGTCTGCAGCTCCACTTTCTTCTTCCACTCCACAAAAATATCCAGGACCTGATGTTTATGCTTCATCGGGTATACCCAATTCCTCCTGGAATAGTCATCAATGAAAGTGACAAAATAGTTGGCCCCACCAAGTGATGTGTGCTTGGAAGGGCCCCAAACATCTGTGTGAATATAGTCCAATATACCTTGGGTATTGTGAATAGCGGTGCCGAATTTCACTCTTGTCTTCTTCCCAAGTATGCAATGTTCGCACAGCTCCATCTTGCAGGTCTTCGCACCCTTCAATAGCCCCTGCTTCGCCAATACCTGCAGGGACTTATCACCAGTGTGTCCCAATCTCATGTGCCATAATCTGGTAGTATCTTCCTCTGTGGTAATCGAAGCTGCCAAACCCCCTTTTACTGTCTTGCCCTTCAAGTAGTAAAGTTTGTTTTCCCTGACACCTCGCATCACCACCATGGACCCCTTTGTGACCTTCAGAGTTGCATTCTCCAAGATCACCTTATAGCCAGCTGCCTCCAAAGTTCCAAGCGAAATGATATTCTTCGTCAATTGAGGAACGAATCTCTCTTCCTTCAGCTCCCGAGTCACCCCGTCACACATTCGGATCTGTACTGTACCAATACCACCAATAGGGCATGCGTGATCATTACCCATGAGTACGACATCCCCTCTTTCCAACTCCTCAAAGCTGGAGAACCAATCCCTCCTAGGGCAAATATGGTATGTAGCACCAGAATCCATCATCCACTCCGTAGAGTAAGCGTAACAAACTGACGGTAATGCAGAGCAAGAATAGCCTGAAGAATCCGTATCTGAATTGTCAGCACTAGCCTTGACAACATTCACTTCCGAAGCTTGTACAGCTTTCCCTTTATTCTTCCCGGCTTTATCTTTTAACTTTGGGCAGTCGTTCTTCCAATGTCCTTCTTCTTTGCAAAACCGACATTGATTCCTACCAATATTTCTATGGCCACCTCTTGACTTCGATCTTGAGCGATCACCTGGACGACGGTTTGGACCACGGCCTCGAACTGCTAATGCATCTCCCGATGCCTTCTCGGAGGGTTCGCCATCACTCTTCCTCAACTCATAATTCACCAAAGCTGAGGTCACCTCCTTGTAGCTAACCGTAGTTCTTCCATTTATCATAGTGAGAACAAACGTACCAAAATCATCCTCCGGCAACGAACACAATAGTAACATCGCCTTGTCTTCATCCTCAACCATGATATCTACATTGGCCATATCCGAAATTAGCTTCGTGAAGTTGTTAACATGCTCCCGAATGGAAACCCCCTCTTCATCTTGAATTGGTAAAACCTTTTCTTCAAATGAAGTCTATTCAAGAGTCTCCTCCAAATTTTGTGCATCCAAGGCGTCCATCACCTGACACCTCCACAAACCGATCTTGCCGTCGAACTTCGGAACATCAATCTTCGTGTTATTGATGCTCAGACTCTGTATCGCCTTCGAAAGAGACGATCCCGATGTGCTTGTTTCTCCCATGTTGTCGATCTAATCTTCAAATAGGAATCCTTCAGCGAATCCTTCGAACAAGCTCCCAAGTCCAACCCGGAGCTCTGATACCACTTGTTGTGCGCAGCGGAAATTTCGGCAGCACTTCGGCAGCACAACAAGAGAGATTAGATCGATAAGAATTCTCGTCTCACCAAGGAAACAAGAATCTGAAGCGGATATCTCAACCAAGTGAGATATCGGCTCTTCCTCTCATCAGTTCTAGGACTGACCTGTCGAGGGATCCTACAAGCTATTACAAATCACAGCAAGAACACAACTTTTACGTGGTTCGGCAAATAGCCTACGTCCACGGGGCAAGGAGGGGGAGATCTACTATTAGAGGGAGAGATACAACTAGGGTTTACAATCTCACAATCTAAACCCTCTCAAACAAACTCTCAAATCCCTCTTACAAAATCTCTCTCAAAGGGGTACACAAATCAAAGAACAATAAACAAAGGACTTTGCTTTCAAAGTTAGCCGCTGCCTTTTCTCCTCGGTTTGCACAAAACAGCCGCTCAAAATCAGCCCCCAACTTTTGCACGCCCTCTGCTTCCGAACTCCTGAAGCCGCAAAAATCACGTCCTTGCTCTAAGCCGCACAAAACCCTAGGGAAGGGTTTTATACAAGACTTTCGGGTGGGCTTTGATGTTCACGCGTGGGCCAAAGGATTTTGTCCGCTGTTTTTTTCCGCTGGCTCTCTGCATTCACGTGGTAGCCGTGGCCCCCACATCACAGTTAGTCTGTTATCTTTCATTCGTATAGTAGAATTCGAGCAAGCTATCATTCACTAAGGGACCATTGAATGCATTGCAAGGTGATTGCTGATATCTATTTAGCAAATATTTCTCAAGAAAATGGTAAAGTATATATAAATTAATTTGTGATAATGCCTTTTAGATGGTCAGAAAACATACTACTTGAGTAGAATTCACATATCCATAGATCTTTCAATTGCTTGATCATATATGAAGTCATAAAATCAGGATATTTTCAATATTTTAAAGTACATCATTTTCCTGGCGTTCATTCCTTAATGGAATGTGTTTTCTTTTGATCTCAGTTTCATTCCTGGGTAATAGTTTCTGGGAGAGTTTAAGATTGCTAGGAAAATGACTTTAAATTGTAAATGTCTCCAGACGACCTACATGATTGGCTTCTCGTTTTTATACCCTTATTAACATTTTTTCTGTCATTATTCGCATATTTTGTAGATAATGTTATTTTACAGCCCCCTGATTTCTTCATTATGTACATATATGTTAATACATAAGTTATCATAAATTTCCGGCTGAAACTGTAGAACTGTGGTGGATCTGAAAAAAGGTAGTCTTCCAAAGAGATAGGTATGCTTTGTTGTAGAAATATGGTGCCAATGATAACCTAGTATTGCTTGGTATAATGTTGGGACGCATACTACAATTGAGGAAGAAGAGGAGTCAATAATGGGTAGATCAGTGTTATCAAGGGGCAATGCAGGGCGCAAAGTCCCTTTACAAAGCAATGCACACGCCTTAGTGAAGCGAGACACATACCACAAATAAAATTATTTGATACATATATCAAATTAAACAAGCAACATTTTTATGATTTCTGGAAGAAAAAATGCACAAGATTATAACCTCACTTATCAAATTACAGAATATGGTCTTAGTTCATAATCTTAGCACTAGTTAAAAAAGTGTTAATTTCAATTTAACTCTACCTTCCATATTTTGTCTAATTAATCACAATGAATTATATAAAAGAACATATGCTACAAAATCATTCATTCATAATTTCTAAATTTACTAATAACTAATGTCTTAATGTTTGGAATAATAATTTGCGGTTTCTTAATCAGTGTTCTAGTTTTTAGAAGTAGCAACAACAAGAGAGAGAAAAGAGGAAAAAGATGATGAAGTAGACAATAATATAGGAGCAAAGGAGAAGAGAATGAGGAAACCTAGGCAAAAGAGAAGGTAAGAGGAGGAATAAGAAGATGTAGAACCAGTTAGAGCATGGTTCAGAGTAGTGAGATGCAATGAGGCGCGTTGAGGTGCGAGGTGTAATTAATGTTGCGCATCGAGGCGCTTATCATGTGATGCCCCTGAAAACTCATGCGGGGCACATTTTCAGCACGCCCAAGCGCCCAGCGTCGAGGCGTGCACCTCAATGCACCTGAGATAACACTGGGGTAGATTAATGAGAAGTTTAATTTGAAGGGATATAATAATTGGCAAATAATAAGACTTGAGACGTAATTCTCAAAATACCAAAGATTTAGAGGATAGATGTGTAGAAACCCTAAATTTTAATACATTAGCATTTAGAATGAAAGCTGAATTGATAAAGGCTAAGAAGTATACCAATATTTAAGCTTTTCATGTAGTTCAAAGTAATTCTCAATTCAATGGATCAAAACCAAAATTTGATGGAATATCAATTTAGTTTCGTTATCTTATGAAAGGACAGGTGTACACTTTAACATGTAATGACAGGTAGATTTCATAATTGACTGGATAGATCAGAGTTAGTATCTGAAGCTCTAATCTATATATCTCGTTTCAAGAAGGAAGGCAAGTAAAGTTTTGAGAATGAAACTTAATTTAACGTGGGGGAGAATATAATGCCCTGGATATTCTACTTAATTGCTAATCAATTGTTTAAGTATCACTTAATTAATTAAAGCATTAACAAGCTAATCAGGATTATTATAAGATAATAAAAGCTAACTGCAGTTGTATATTTCATAATCAACTCTTTAAGTAAGCTACAACATCAAGTTTCAACCAACAAGAACTGAATAGTTACAAGGGAGTACATAAGCCGCTTAGGAAGTAATGTGATTTTCTAAATGTTGACTATATATAGTTTTGCTGAGTTATAATAAAGTGTTTATTTACGAAGAAACATGAAGATATTTAAATTATAAAATATTTATTGGAACAGAATATTGAAAAGGAGGAGGAAGTTCAACTGTGCTGAAATTTTGTATAGATAACTGTTACAATATTTTGAAGCAACACGAAGATATTTAAATTGTAATTGACTGTATAAAGGTAATTCAACTTTAACATACTGAAATCTTGTACAGATATTTGTTACAATTTTTTGTACATTACTGTCTTTTTCTCCTGGGTTTGCTAAAATTCGTGCTGCTTTTGTACCTTTTTTTTTATTTTTTTCAAATAAGCTCTGGCACCTAATTACCTATTGATGCCATAATTTTAATCTAATTCACTTATCATTATAACACTTCACCCTGTGGATGATTGTAAATATTTATTGGTCTGCTATATATCAGAACTTTGGTTCTTCAAAATTGTCATCATGTTTATTACTTATGAATGAATGCTGAATTTCTCACGCTATTATTTTTCAGTTTCTGTTTTTATTGAAATGGTTTTTTGTTTCAGAATGCTAGTGTGGTTGTATTTTACCTTCATCTGTGAACAATGCAGCAGATTGTGGAAATTGATATTAACTGCTGCCATGGGGGAAAAAGGATTAGCAACTGATTTAGGATTTTTCACTGTAAATGCCAAAATGGCTGATCATTAATTAGGAAGAAACTGAAATCAATCTTTTGTTTTTCTGTTGACTTGATTAGTAACTTTGCTGTTATACAGTCTTAACAGCTCTTGGTATGTTTCTTCTACATATATCAACTCCAGAAATTCTGGAAAATATTATATGGAGGGATATCCATCTATTCTCACAAATCTGCGGAAGATATGATTTAAATGAAGCAAAGGTTCTCTACAATTTGGTGAGTTCAGGGGTCATGTCTCTCTATTTATAAAGGCTTAATTGCGATTTGGTATCCCAAAATTTTACCCATATGGAGGGAAGCTATGGAGGAGGAGATGCAGTCTCTTCAGAAGAACGATACTTGGACACTTGCACATCTACCTAAGGGTAAGAAGGCTATTGGTTACAAGTGGGTATATGCGAAGAAGGAGGGATCTTCTATTGGGGACATAAGCTTCAAAGCCAGATTGGTTGCCAAGGGATATGCACAGCTTAAGGGCATTGATTACAACGAAGTATTTTCACCCGTTGTGAAGCATTCGTCTATACGGATTTTATTAGCGTTGGTGGCACAGTTGGATTTGGATTTGGTCTAGATGGATATGAAGACAACCTTTCTACACGGTGATTTAGATGAGGAGATCTACATGACACAACCCTAGGGTTTCAAAGCTGCAGGAAAGGAAGATTTGGTTAGTAAGCTGAAGAAATCTCTTTAAGGTTTGAAGCAGTCACCAAGACAGTGGTATAAGAGATTCGACGGCTTTATGATTGGCCGAGGGTACACGAGGAGCCCATATGACCCATGTGTTTATATGCACAAGCTACATGATGGTGAGCACATATATTTGCTTTTATATGTTGACGATATGCTTATTACTTTTAGGAATTTTTCGGCTATTCGAAAGCTGAAAGAGGAGCTATCATCTGAGTTTGAGATGAAGGATCTTGGAGAGGCAAAGAAGATATTAGGTATGGAGATCGAGAGAGACAGGGTGAAAGGGAGCTTGAAACTTACACAGAAGAGCTACTTGCAGACGATGTTGAAGAAATTCAGCTTTGACGGCAATGCAAAAGCAGTTAGCACACCATTGGCTCCCCACTTCAAGCATTCAGCGTTGATGTCGCCTGTTTCAGTTGAGGACAGAGATTATATGTCGAAGGTCCCATATGCCAGTGCAGTAGGTAGATTGATGTATGCGATTGTGTGTACGAGGCCAGATTTGTCACAGGCCGTGAGCATGGTATCAAGATACATGCACGACCCCGGGAAGGGTCATTGGGAGGCCGTGAAGTGGATTCTACGGTATGTTCGAGGCACCATGGATGTTGGTTTAGTATTCCAGAAGGATGAGAAGAATGGGTAGGATTGTATTGGATATGTGGATTCAAGTTATGCTGGAGATCTTGACAAGCGCCGATCTACTTCAGATTATGCTTTTACATTGGCAGGTGCACCTGTATATTGGCGATGCACGCTTCAGTCCACAGTGGCTCTATCTACTACGGAGACAGAGTATATGGCAGTAACTGAAGCTATTAAGGAGGCTTTATGGTTGCGTGGTTTATTGGAGGACTTGGGGATCGCTCAGGAGACCATTCGGGTATATTATGATAGCATGTCGGCTATCTATTTGGCAAAGAACCAAGTCTATCATGCGTGTACGAAGCACATTGACGTCAGATTCCACTTTGTACGGGACGTTTTGGATGATGGAGACGTCATATTGGAGAAGGTCCACACAAATGACAACCCTGCAGATATGTTGACCAAAGTTGTTTCAGGAGTGAAATTTGGTCATTGTTTGAAGCTTTTGAACATCCTTCAGTGCTGAGGCCTTTGGATGCCATTTGGGTGAACTACGTTCGGCTTGATTCCTTGGACAAGAGGATATGTAGACAGTCTTTCAGATGCAGCCGGTTTGATCAGTTGATTCAGATGGTGGGGAGATCGCGTTTCAGCTCTAGATTGTTTTCCTGGCTTGTTGAGGGACTATTAGATGATTTGGTATCGGCTCAATTTTGGTGAAAACATTCACCGAGGTGGAGAATTGAAGAAATACAGGAAACAACAAAGAAATCAGCTAGGCAGACTGACGGTCGACCGCCCCGGTCGACCGTGAACGTGCACGAAGACTAGTAGGAGTCGGAGCTGGTGGCGGTCGACCGCCGTGGTCGACCGCGGATGACTGTAATTGATTTTGCTCTCGGGTTTGTGCGCCGCGGTCGACCGCGAGACCTGCGCGGTCGACCGCCGCGGTCGACCGTCGATGATTTCTGGGCTGGGCTTCGGTTTTTGACCCGATTTGTTTCTGAGTTATATATAACCCTAAACCTAATTTGTTAGGGTTAAGCAAGGATGAATTTGAGCAGTCTTTGAGAGAGGATTGTTGCATCCAATTGTGGGAGAGTTGTGAGAGATCAAGAGCTTTGTTTTAGGGTTTGATCTGAGAGATTTGTAACTCTACTTGTATTCTCTGATTTCTAATAGTAAGAGCTCCCTCCCCCTTACCCCGTGGATGTAGGCAACTTGCCGAACCACGTAAATTATTTGTTCTTGCTGTGGTTGTGTTTGCATATTAGTTGTGACTTAGTTCGAGTTATTGTTCGTGTTGCACAAGAAAAACTTCCGTCGCGCACAACATTTGTATCATGTCAAGCATGATTATAATTCAAAATGTCAGGTATATTCAAGAGTTTTGTTGGTAAGTTAATTAATCAATTTTTTATCGTTGTATATTGTTGCATAAACATCTTAAATTAATTTTGCTTTGTAACGAATGTAGATGGATGATGTAGATGAAGAACAAATAAAGATGAATGTAACCCTTTCTCATATTGAGCTAATGCTTATTGGCTTGTGCTAATTCTTGGGTGGGAAATGATGATGATAATAAACTGAGAATGCAGCCTAAATTTATTCTGTATTGTTTAGGTGAGGCAATTTTGTATGGAATGTAACCCTTTCTCATAGTGAATAATGTTTGGGTTTATCAATCCCGCAAAATAGCAGCCTACATTTCACCATAAATTGATAGGCGAGGCAACCTTTTATGAAAAATCTATTTTTATCCTGAGCCCTAATAAGTATTTCTTGGTTGTCGTCAAGCTCCTATGACTGTTTTTTGTTATTATGCTAATTCGAGCTTGTTTAGCTCTATGTTGTTGGGTTTTTGGTTGCTATTTGTGCTTGTTGTCGAGCTCCCGCAGCTGTTTTTTGTTACTATGATGATTCAAGCTTGTTTAGCTCTATGTTGTTGGGTTTTTGGTTGCTATTTGTGCTCGTCGTCAAGCTCTGTGTTGTTGGATTTTTGGTGCTATTTGTGCTCGTTGTCGAGCTCTCGTGACTGTTTTTTTGTTACTATGCTGATTCG